GTTCTTAAACATGCAATTACATACATAAATAAAGACTTGATTTAATAATTATTTCAGAGACAGATTCTTCATTAAAGTAGTTCTATCATCCTGTTTGAAACTCACTGCTACAGCTGAGATAAGGTTGATTAATGTGACACAATTTAACATATCCAGTGACTTTAGGGCCTTTTACTTTCATATTGTTTATTCTTGATTTATTTTAAATTGGCTCTTTTAAATGAAACCAGAGAGCGTTGACAGAGAGGAGAAGGTAGAAATGACTCAGCCTGTAACTGAAAATATGGATGGAGGACAACAGAGCTGCTTCATGGAAGAAGAACCTCAGCTTACCCTGTTAGCCTGTTAGCCTTTGTGCTAGCGCCAACCCTATATTGCCTTATATGTATTAGCTCGGCGCTAGTGCGACAAACAAACTAAACTGAGGTCCTCCATCCATATTTTCAGTTACAGGCTGAGTCATTTCTACCTTCTCCTCTCTGTCAACGCTCTCCGGTTTCATTTAAGAGTCGATCATCAGATATTGTTCAAGATTAACCTTCAGGGTGGATATAGCTCGCTAGCAGCCTCACACAGAGGACCTGTCCACGTCATCATTTACCCAGAATGCTTTGCATGTAAATAAAATGGCTCCGTTCGTGTAATAAAAATTGAACATCCTACAGTATTTTTAGAGTCTTTATTTTACAGTTAAAATATGCGTTTATCAAATGAAGTCTAATGTTACAAACTAATCAGGGATCCCTTTAATGTGCTAAAGGAGAGATGGAAACACATTTGTCGAATAAGTTCTGACGTAGCGAACATTTACGGTACCAGAGCGACTGCAGCTGGACCCTCCTCCCGCTGTCGGCGTATTCTCAGTTATTCCCGTAACGTGAAGAGAATTACATTTGTTTCTCTACATCTCCAGACAGCAGTAACACCACCAAAACTAATTGATGACAGAATAATTACAACTTTCCTGGAAGTAGCAACACGTTCCTGATAACTTCTCTCCACGGTCCTGAGATGTGTGGACCCTGTGAGTTTGCGACTTTTACTTCCTGTTTACTACAGCCATGCGTCTGACGTAATTGATTCGCTTTAAGCCAATTGATGGAAACACGTCTGATTCGCATTTCGTCATTTTTTTCCTTTTTGCAAAATTTTAAAAATTTGCTCAAACTTGAAATTAGAATTGGATAAAACACAACTAATAATTGAGTATGTGGTATTTCTGCATAGAAACAGTGTTTTAAGACATCTTCTTATAAACACTGAAAAGTACTACATCTAAATGTGAAATACATAATACAGAAATACTATTAAAAGTTTTACTCMCTGTTGAGTTGTGGTGATTAGCTGCCATCTTGAGTTCTGAACTTTCTCTGTCCTCCTGGGAATTCCCACTACTAGGTTGGACATTCTCACTTCTCAGTATAATTTGGCTACAGACAAAGTCAACAGGAAAAATGCAGCCAAATGGAGATTTTACACGGTGAATTTTGCCGACTACTTTTGAACCCTGTGCACCTCCACCTAGAGGTGGGATGTCATCATTTCATGGGTAAAATAATCAGTATGCTTTATGGAAAATGTACTTTATGGCTGTAAAGCAGCGWATGCTTATTTTGAGACATTAATAGTGTATATTGAAGCTGTCGCTGGTCAGAGAAAAAGCTGTGAAGGGCCAAATTCGGCCCATGGGCCTTGAGTTTGAGAKGTGTTTTTAGGAAGTTTCTCTGCTCCAACACGCCTTTTCTGGATAAATTTGTGATTATCAGATTTCTGRAGAACTTGAAGAGGTGATTTAATCATTGAGTGTTAGAGCAGGAAAACAGGTAAAGCATGCAGGGTAGTTACCCTCCAGAACCAGGATTAGAGCGTCAGACAAGTGCTTTAAATAATGTTAACTGTGTTCAGGATTTACTGGTTTCTCTGTTCAAAAAGAAGTCTTTCTTTCTTTTTTCCTCAGCGTGCCCTCTACCAGTCGTCTCACAGCGATGAGAACGACGTGCAGACGATCAGTCACAAGTGTCTGGTGGCGAGCGTGGAGGACTATGAGCAGATGATCCACACCCGCCGCTACGCCGACAACGAGGACCTGTACTATCTAGCCGGCACCTACGAGCCCACGACCGGCATGATCTTCAACACGGACGGAGTCCCGGTCATCTGCTAGAGARGAGCTACTGAAACCAAACCACCTTGTGTGGAGACTCCTCCCACATCCACCCAACCTGTGGTCCAATCACTGCGTTTCACTTCCAGGCATTTCTGCGTGGACCGAACGGCTCCACGAAACACTTGAGAGACAGGAGACACTACAGACAGTATTATCAAAGACGTCATGAACACACACCAGGTTCTGCTGGTTTTACATGTAAATACACCCAGACACAAACAGTATGTATGCTCACACGTGCACAGACTCAATGTAAATACTCATGTCCACACAAGACACGCTTATCTAGAGGAACATATGAGTGTTTTTGTTTTTTTTAAATGGTATAGATTTATGTCAGAGTAAGTTTTATTCATTATTATTTCCTGAAGGGGTTAACAGTGGAGAAGCTTTAACGAACTGTGAATGATGGCAGACGCGAGTCCGTTTGGCGTTTTTTTTTTAAAGACGGACTCGAACAAAAAGTGGGTGTGATGTTGTGCTGTAGCCGTGGTGATGTTACGGTCATGTTACAGTCATATAAATAAATGTATGTACAGAACAGCAGGACGCACAGGTAGAGAGACAGGAAGACTCACAYCCCAAAGCACTAATAAACACTTCAACCCCCTCCCCTACCCCGACAATCCTAACTGGGACTGAATGTCCCTGTTTTAATAACAAACAATAATAAAATCTAAATAAAGTCCCTCATTGACTCAGGCTAAAAACAGTTATAGAAGCACTTCTTAAAAACACACTATGACAGAAAACCAGCTGCAGTTTGTGGATCTTTGTTTTGCACCTAGATTCAGTCATGACACTTTTCTCCACAGCTGCCTTCAGGAGGCTGTGGAGAAGCATCTTGTGGAAACGCAGGATGTTTTATTTATTTATTGTTGTTCTTCAGGTAGAAAGCCCCACTCGTGAGCTCGATGTGAGGACAGCGTAGAAATCCCAGCGAGGCTCGTAAACTCTGCAGCCTGTCCAGGAAGCACCAAGGTCACGCCGCTGAGTTTTCCACCACGCAGCTGTCGGCTCAGATTAGTTCGGCATAATTCAGTTTTACGCTTGTTTTTCCACAGGCTTTGCTTCGTTTTTCTGTCTCTGCGGCGTTTGCAACCTCCAAACATCCTCTTGTTTGTTCGCTGTGGTTTTTATTTGGATTTATGGAAGTTCTTTAATCAACGAGTGTTTCTAAAATGAGTGCGCACTTTGAACGAGGAGACTCTGTGCCCGGGAGTTATGGAGTATTTACCACGTCTCAGTTAACACCCCTCCTCCTGTTTCTGACTTGTTTTGTTTTTTTCTCCGTGCCTCATTGAACTTTTCTTTTTCTTTTTGTTTTGTGGTGAGACTGTTGAATGTCGTGCTCAGGATTGTGAGTGCTTTGCCTTATGTTTCCAGGCCTTATGATAATCTGCCAAATCTTATTTTTGCTCCCCTCTGTCTTTCATGGGRTTATCTCCACCGCAGTCTTTGCCTCGTTTATCAGATGTATCAGTGTATGCATGACCTGCCTGTGTTACACTGTATATATCAGATTATTAGCTGTGTTCCCTTTTCTTTACGTTGCTCTGCCTTGTTGCAGAGATTAGAAACAGTCTTGTTGATATTCAATAGGTTTAATATTTTCTACTCTTCAGACCTTCTGGTGTTTACTACATTTGACTGATTATGCTCTAATTTTTTTCTTTTATTTTATGGCTGCGATGCATGATGTTAAGAGGAAGAGCCAAAATGCTAATCTGTTGTTTTTGTTGAGAATATATCAATAATCCAGAGCTACCCCACCCGATTCGGATGTTATCATCCATTAAATGGATGTTATTAGCCGTTATCAGTCCCATAGAATAGCTTCAGACTGTCAGCTGGTTAATATGAGYCATAAAGCCACTAAGGTTAATTTTAGAGAAAATGACATGAGCTATGATAAAGTAGACCGGACTCTGGCGGTAGCAGATTGTTGCATTCCAACGTATATGGCACTGGTAACCCACTAGGGGGCACTGTCGGGACAGTCTGAAGCCATTCTATGGGACTGATAACCGCTAATAACATCCATTTAATYGACTGATTACATCTGAACCGGCTGGCTACCCAGTAAAAGTTTATTAATGTGCTGCTAATCTGTTAGTTTTAAAAGTGGTTTAAACAGGTACAGAGTGACTGCTATTTTCTTAAAGCTAAAATTGTAACTCTTATTGCCCAACATGTTCCTTAAAATGATTTTTCAGACACTTTGAAGTGAGGACTTTATGGAAGTGTTCAACAATTAATATCTTACCTGCTGTAGATAGTTCTCTGAATGAGCTTGGTTTCAGTCAATCTGAATAAGATTAAAGACGAGTTGAGATCAAAATGACTGCTTTTTTAGCGATTGTAACAAATGAACAAAAGAGAGCATAAACACAAAAAGAGACTGTTTAGTCGTAGCAAAGATGTAGCATTGTTGCTAACATGGAAATAAACCAAGGCTGTGTCCAAATTCAAAGATTCCACCAATTGCGGCCCACAAATGTGTTCTTTTCCTTCAGTTTGAGGGACTGGTCTGGTGGATCCTTCTCAGCCCACCCTATCCCAAGATGCATTGTGGGCTGACCGAGAGATTTTTGCTTGCGAAGGCAGGCAAAGCGAGACAAGACGGTTTTAAATTAAAATCTGGTGATACAAAAGTTAAAGTGGTTAGCTTGTTAATACTTTTGTCACACTTTTTAATAGTATTCTTGTCAGAAAGTGTAAACGAGCTTGTACCTTAGTTCTTTATGCATTACACCTCTCAAGCAATACTGCTGATGGGAGCTAGCTGCTAGAAAGAGGAATGGAAGAGCGAGCAAAAGAGAGAGAGGTGGATTATGTATTATGTCTAAGGTAATTTTATTATTTTGCAATATTCATAATATTGATATATAAATACTTTGCTAATATCTTCATTGCTTTTGTTTTGTGTTGACATGATGGCTAGGCAACAGGACGTATGCCGGAGTTAGGGTGGGAATAAAGCTGAAGGCTAGACCAGGGGTTCTCAAGCCATTTGTGTCTGGGGACCCCTTTCAAGGGCAAAAATAATTCCAGGGACCCCCTCATAAACCCCATGCTGTTTTAAAAGATAATTGTCATTTCAACCCCTAAATGTCATGGAAATATGTTTTTATTAAGTTTATTATGTTTGTTTCATTAGTTCGTTGTTCTACATGCATTTTTAAAAATAAAAACCAAATTAATAATTTAGTGAAAATATTTGAGGACCCCCAAGATACCTCTCGCGGACCCCTGGGGGTCCAGGGACCCCAGTTTAAGAACCTCTGGGCTAGACCATCCAAATTCACAGGCACTTTCTTCCAGTCTTCATGGTCGTTGAAAAAAACAGCCCATGAATTTGGACACAGCCCATATCTGCTAACCAATGTAACGTAAGAGCTACCGAAGCTTTAGTGAGGTTTTAAAGGCAAAAGGTAATTTTTTTTTTGTTCAACATTTAAACGTTTCCACTGCTGCCAGTTTTGAATTTTATGTTTTTTTCTGGCAGAATTAAAACATTCCTGCAGGAGGTGCTACAGCTAGCTGCTGCCGCCACTTTCTATGCTCACAAATAACCACAGATTTCAGTGAAAATAGTCACATAAAGTAGCTTTTTCATGAGATGTTTGACCCTGGAGCTGTTTAGAGATGTCAAACACTTCACTTTAGTCGTAACCCCGCTCTGACTAGCCGTTAGCTCGTCAAGTCGGGCAGAATTAAACACTACTTGTCCGGAACAAGCTCATTCAAAAGTTATCTTCATCAGGTAAGATATTAATTGTTCATAAGCTTTCAGCGGAGCTCACTGTCAAAGATCTGAACTGTTGCTTTATTATTGCTGCTCACGTCAAATTCAGATGTTTTTGAGTGACGGACGACAGAAATGTCTGTTTAATATGGATGGAAACAGGTTAAAGTGCCCGTTATGAATATTTGTTTACCCCTCCAGCTGCTCAAGCACTTTTTCCCCCGTGTGTATATCAGAGTGTGTGTAAGGAGACACACACACCTTTGTAACCCTTTTAAGGTGTGTTATTGCCTTTCCATTTTTTTAATTTTGCCCCCCCTCTACCTAAAGCCTTCAAACAGGGTCCGACACACATTTATTCCCCGTTACGCCTTTATTATATCATTTGGTTTGATGTATTTTAAAGAGCCTGACTTTTTAAATGTTGTTTTTATCACCATTTCAAATGTAGCTTTTATAGCCTGTCTTTTAAAATGTCATTATTTGCTGTGATTTTTTTTTTAATGTATGTTTGTCATCCCCCCACTTTCTGAACAATCGTCCACGCCTCTCAAGCAATACTGCTGATGGGAGCTAGCTGCTAGAAAGAGAGGAATGGGAGAGCGAGTAAAAGAGAGAATGAGAGAGAGAGAGAGGTGGACTGGAGGCTGGTTCTTCGTCTGCTGTTCCTTCAGTATCGTTTTTGTCCTGTTACAGAGAATTAAAAAAAGATTATTTTGAAAATAAAAGAACCATCTAAGTTTTGTAAATGAGCCTTCGCTGCTGAGGGAAGAAAGCTATCAGAGTATACTTTGTACACATGTCTAATCTTGTAAAAACACAAAAAAGAGTACATTTTAGAGATAAATCTGAAACTAGACATATTCTGTCACCCTATATTATATGTGTAAGAAAATGTTTGTTCCTTTTTTTTTACAGACAGCAACCAAGTTTATCAGTGTTTCTTTGGAATTGTTTTAGTAAGTCAATATTTTATAGTTAATCAATAAACAGATGGAACTGTAACTTATTTGTCCTGTGTGTTTCTGACCAAAAATAACATTAGGGGGTGCCACCACCACAAGAGGGCCTAGAGGGGCAATGGCCTCAGCCTTAATAAAAAAGGCCTTGGCCAGACAGTCTTATACTCTTTATTTCCTCTAACTATTTAAGATTAGTTGAACAGCAAAAAGAAAAACAAACTTTTTTTTTTTTTTTTTTTTTTGCAGTTAGGAGTTAAAAATATCAATATGTACCATCCTGCAGTAAACTGTGGGCCAAATGTGTGGCCTGTCATGGTATTTAATTTGACCTATGACGGCTTCAAATATATATTGGTGTAATAAAAGGCTTTAAAGCCAATCTCCCATAATGCACATTAATCATCGTAGGGAAAATGATTCAATCCGACTACCTTCTCACTGAGAGTCGTAAATTTAAACTGGAATGCCCGGACAGACAGCCAATGGCCACTTTTCTAACTGAGGAGATTTCAACAGTGGTTGGTCAGTGGCTCAAACCTCTCTTCAAGCTCAGATCAAAGCTTGAGAGCCCAGAACGTGATGTTTCATGTTTAGTTYAAGCCAAACATGGAACATCAAAGGTTATTACAACTGACCCTTTGAGGCCCACCTTAATGCTCATATGGCCCTCTGTGAAAATGAGGTTGACTCTCCTGTAGAATCTCTTTGAGCTGCTATGCTAACACTAACTTGTACATTGTACAATGAGAACAAGTGGAATTATAAGTAAAATATTTGATTACAAATAGGTTTAAAGAGTGTTTTGTATAAAACACACATCCCTAGTGTGTATGATGTGAGTGGGTAATAGACATTAGATCATAAAACATTCTGAGGTCAACATCTGCCTGATGTGAAATGTGTTGATGGATGTTGTGGCATGACAGCAGTGGTTGGTAGGGGTGTAAGAAAGCATCAATACAATGAAATATATGCAGTATTTCATTTCCTGATACTGTGTCAATTCTCAAAAGAAATATGTTGATTTTTAATTAAGGCTTAATGATTCAGATTTATTGTCATATCACAWAGCACAAGTGTACAGGTGAATGAAAAACTTGAGTGCAAAATCCCACCTGTATGCAGATCACAATATAAACAACATACTAAAAAAATAAAAGGAAACATTTAAAAAAAATTATATATACAAACGTGGTCAATATAAACAGTTGAATAGACTTACACTGTACACAATAACTATTATATACATAAACATACAGTATTACACAGTTCAGAGTTATCACGGTACAGATATGTTTATAACTGCGTTTATAATTTATTTGTGCACCAAGAGCTGATAGTGTGGTGGGATGGACAGAACATTGTTCTACTGACTGTTCAACATTCTGATCGCCTGAGGAAAGAAGGAGTCATGGAACCGAATGGTTCTGGTCCTTCTTCCACTCTGTATTAGTGAGAACAGCCAGTGACTTGGACGGGAGAGGTCTCTCAAGATCTTGGGAGAGCTTCTTAGGCAGCGGTTAGTGTATAGATCCAGAAGGTTTGGCAGCTGCACCCCAGTGATGTTGTGATCTGTGCGCACTACCCTCTGAAGGGATTTCCACTCATGAGCAGTACAGTTCCCATACCAGGTGGTAATGCTCCCTGTCAAGATACTTTCCACAGTGCAAGTGTTGAGGGTCTTAAGGATACAGGGGTTCATAGCAAACCTCCTCAGCTATCTGAGGAAGTAAAGGCATTGTTTGGCCTTTTTCACCACCCGTGTTGTGTGTTCTGACCATGTGAGGTCCTTACCGATATTGACTCCCAGAAACTTGAAGCAGCTGACCCTCTCCACCACTGATCCATTGATGTAAGTTGGAGAGTGTACTCTCTCTGATGTACAAGCGTCATCAGCAAACTTGATTATGTTGGAGCTGTGTCTGGCTGTGCAGTCGTGAGTGTACAGAGAATACAAGAGTGGGCTGAGCACACAGCCCTGAGGAGTGTAATGGATGGATGTAGGAAGAAATGTAAAAAACAAATGCAGTCCAGTATTTTTCTTCATAAAGATAAACTGAATTTAAACTGATTTAATGCATATTTAATGCATGGTTCGCTCTATATACTGAGCTTTTTAAAATTTGAATCTTTTGGAGAAAAAATGGCAATATATCGCCTTGCTTACGGTATCACAATATATCGCAATATCAGTATTACAGTGTATCATAGTGTATCATATCGTGACCCCTGAGACGTTATATGTGTCATATCACCCAATTCTTTCCAGTTCACAGTCCTAGAGGTGGACACAGAAAACCCAAAAGTTAGCTTCACTAACCACTAAACCACTAATCAAGAATCTTAGCTCTGCTAACGCTAATCGGATAAAAAATTCTTGAGAAAGCTAACGCCAGCCGCTATGATGATTATCTCCTTCCAGGTAAAGACTGGTGGACTGACACAAAGCTGTTGTTACTTTATGTTGGTTTAATTTGAAGGTGGGTGGGATCAAGTGTGGCAAATCGGCCAATCCAAACCAGTCATAGCTCTAATACTTCCAGTTTAAACTTTTCAGAAAAAATAATCTAATCGATTGAGTTTGTCCGTCTGTTTTCTTCCAATAATCCAGGGTTGGGTCACGGGGGCAGCATCCTAAGCAGAGAAACCCAGACTTCCCTCTCCCCAGCCACTTGGGCCAGCTCATCTGAGGGAATCCCAAGGCATTCCCAGCTGAGAAACATAGTCCCTCCAGCATGTCCTGGATCTTCCTCTGGGTCTCCTCCCAGTGGGACATGCTCAGAACACCTCACCAGGGAGGCGTCCAGGAGGCATCCTAACCAGATGCCCGAGCCACCTCAACTGGCTCCTCTGGACGTGGAGGAGCAGCGGCTCTACTCTGAGTCTCTCCCGGATGACCGAGCTTCTCACCCTATCTCTAAGGGAGAGCCCAGACACCCTGTGAAGGAAACCCATTTCGGCCGCTTGTATCCATGATCTCATTCTTTCAGTCACTACCCAAAGCTCGTGACCATAGATGAAGGTAGGAACGTAGACCGACTGGTAAACTGAGAGCTTCACCTTCTGGCTCAGTTCCCGCTTCACCACGACAGACCGGTACAGCGCCCGCATCACTGCAGATGCAGCACTAATCCTCCCCGACCTGGAGAAGACAACCTACCGATTTCTGGCTCAAGACCACGGTCTCAGATTTGGAGGCACTGATCCTCATCCTGGCCGCTTCACACTCGGCTGTGAACGGCTTCAGTGAGAGCTGGAGATCATGATTTGATGAAGCCAATAGGACCATATCATCTGCAAAAAGCAGGGATGTGATCCTAAGATCACCAAAAAGGATCCCCTCAACACCTCGGCTGTGCCTAGAAATTCTGTCCATAAAAGTTATGAACAGAATCGGTGACAAAGGGCAGCCTTGGTGGAGTCCAACTCTCACCAGAAACAAGTCCGACTTTCTACCGGCAATGGGAACCAAGCTCCAGCACCGGTCGTAAAGGGACCTAACAGGTCCCTGGTACCCCATAGTCCTGGAGTAATCAAACAAAAAACAAATGTGCCTGATACATCCAGTGCTGCTTGTAAGAGAGGTACTTTTTCTTTATTTGGAATAAACAACATACAAATAAATGTTTTATYGTTGTGATTTTTTTTAGTGGACTTAAAATTAGTGGAACCTAATTTACTGGAAGCTAATTGGCCAGCTAACATTATCCATTGTTAACAAAAAAGCTGATTTGCTAAATAAAAAACTAGTTGTGCTATTAGTGGACCTGTGCCCATCTCTACATGAGTGCAGTGGTCATTGCTGTCACTCAGCTTCACGGCTTGGCTATTCCAGGTGGAGTTTGCGTGTTTGCTTCATGCTCATGTGGGTTTTCTCCAGGTATTTAACACAAAACATGCACGTCAGGCTAAAGCTGTAACTCGAAATTGTTCCTCTGTGTGAGTAAGAGAGGGATGATTTGAGCTCTTTGAGCTGCTGTCATGTTTTGTGTTTTTTTCTCTGTGAATTCAACCTCCAGTACCTCAGTGTGGTGTTGTTTTTCTGAGGACAGAGCTCGTTTTTGTCCTCTCGTGTTCAGATTAAAAAGTGACTCATAACAAGCTGCTAACCAGGGTTTCACTGTCTAAACACAGAAGAAGCAGGTCTTTGTGTGTTGTTTGGGTTTGTGCAGACTGCTCCTTTAATCAACGTCGGACCACCGGGCCTCCATTTTGGCAACTCTGTAATGAATCTGCTGCTGGTCGTGATAAAATGGAGGAAAGTTGAGCTTTTTCTGCTGAGCTGCTGAATTTAACATGAGAAGCCATTCATGGCTCTGCCCCTCAAAAACCTGCTGTGTGTGCGTGCGTATGTGTGTGTGTGTGCGTGCGTGCGTGCGTGCGTGCGTGCGTGCGTATGTGTGTAATTAAATCTTTGCTGACTTGAATGGAAGGTGAGTTCTTGTTTCACAGAGACAGCAGCAGTCGAGGGTTCGGGGCACCTTGGTTTCCCCCAAAGGTTCTGCATCATCAGCATAACATCAGAGACTCCCTGAAAAACACACACACACACACACACACACACACACACACACACACACACACACACACACACACACACACACA